CTATAATGCCATTGACGTGGCTTCTTCGGGTCCCTTCAGTTTCGATAAAATACATGTTTTCTAATATGTTGTTGTGAGACATGGATTGCAAGGCTACATGTGTTTTGTTAAACACCAGTTTTCTCTCGTCTTGTTGTGGCACATAATCCTAAGGTCAAAATCTTGTCCTCTTTTTTTTTTTTTTTTTTTTTTTTTTTTTTACCGCCGGTGCTTGTGGTGCTGGTAAGAGCAGTCACCACTAGCACTGGGGGAGCAGCTCCATGTCCTCAAAACTAGTTTATGAAAAAATGTATCGCATAATTTGGCAAAATGGACTTTCATTTCGGTCCCGTTTTTACGGAGTGCATGTTAAAAGCAGATCAATTGCGAGCTTGTGCACCTATCCTCATAGGAGTCCAGATTCAGGCGTCCAATCCAATCCTCTATGCCAGTTGGACCTCACAAGTGCGCATTCATCAGTTCGCAGAATGGCGCAGGTCCACCCGACAACGAGTTTGTTGCTCATGCACCGCTCGCCAAACCCCAACATTTTGAATGAATCTAGACAAGGAAGATGTCCAGATGCAATTGGCGAATGGTGAAATAGCCAGTGAAATGGTGGTAGGTACCTCTTCGTATTAGTCAGCAAATGTTGGCGTAGTAGAGGACCTCGCCGCACCACTCAGCAAATGCGCAAGATGAGAGTGAACCTTTCCCTTAGAATGTGGAAAGATATATCGTCATAATTTCTATCTTTTGCACATTTGGCAAGTGGTGGGGCGAGGTCCATACTCTTCAGAGTTTCTTTTTTCCTCTTCTTTTCTTTTTGAAAATTTGGACCATATCCTGATTTATCCGTGTGATCCTTGCACAGGGGCTATCATGATCATGTTCTTTTTTCTTTTTTTCACTCTCAGGATCTCCCCCTCACAAGACCCCTCCCTTCCACCTCTCGATATTGACCCCTCCCTTCCACCCCTCGATATTCCCCGGCACACCCGAACGTTCCTCTTTCCTACCTCGCTCGAGGACGACCACTCTCTCCCGGACTCGCAGCAACCTGACCGGACAGTGGAAGTGGGCACCGGTGCTGAACGAGAACCCCTTCCAGCCCTGGTTGAGGCACTGTCACACGAGCCTCGTTCTACGGGTACCTCGGAAGCTACCGCATGATGAATCTGTTTTCTGTTTTTTTTTTTTTGAAAACAACCCGATCGGATGCTAGGTGTGCTGATAAGAGCAGACACATCTAGCACCATCGGGGAGGCTCCATCTATTGGTGGGGAGCAGCACCTGCCGGAAATGGGGTCCAGCGACCCTCGGATACATCTTTGTGGTACAGTGTATGTTGGGCATGATGAGCCTGTTACCACCAGCCACGTGAGCAGACCCCTACTCAGTGCGTGCTCCCTCCAAGGACATCACCACCGTCCAAGATGATTCCGCTGCAGGACCCCACTCTCACACCCACCCTCCGGGGACATTCTGTCCTGCTTAGAGGTAAAAAAAAAAGAAAAAAAAAAAGAAAAAGGAGACGGCGCCGCTCAACCCCCACAATCCCATGCTAATCTTCTGTGTATCCTGACTCCTGAGTCAATACCTTTCTCGGCGTTTTGGCTAAGATCAAGTGTAATATCTGTTGAAAAAACAAAAACAAAAAAGGGTCCCATCTGTTCGCCTTTTTTGTGGGGGTAACTAGGGAGCAGTCACGATCATTTCAGTTTGAAATCCACTTCCCGGATCTCTCGACACATCCCCACCCGACCCTAAAGCTAGGTTGTATACATTCACGATTTTCCTCGCTTTGGCACAACATTGGCTAAAATGGTGACTGAGGGCACACCACCACTCTCCCGAATGTATGTGACCGTAATTGCGGCCGGACTTGGATGTATCTGGCTGCATTTCCATCCAGAAACAAGTAAAAAGGTCCTAGCGCATTATTCTGTGAATGTCGACAATAATGAGGTGAGGGGAACTGAAGATAGACTAAGTGTGTTGCATGCCCTTTGTTGGGTGGGGACGGGGCTCTGTCCTCCCGCTCCACTGTCCCTTCATTCCTATTGTACTGATGGCCTTGGGGGGTGGGCGCCAATGAAAGCAGCCCCCACACTGGCATGGTTTAAAAAAGAACAGGCACTGAGTTCAAAAGAGCCCCCAACGAAATTGCCAACGACGGTGGCGTCAGGCTGGGTGTCATATTTACAGGGGTCGGCTGTGGTGTCAGATGGGGAAAGAAGAAAAAACACAAGGCGGAAGAAACCTGAGCAGCGGGAACCCTCTGTGGGGTACAATGTCCGCCAGCCACGATCGACGATCGTGTGAGCGTGCCTGCCTGCTTGAACTGGAAGTTAAACCACCAGTACTTCCTAAGGCCGCGCCCGTTAACGCTACGCGATTTTAGGAAACGTACAGGCCACTACAGGAGCGCCCAAATTCATCCAACTAGAAACGTTTCTACTCTATTTTTTTCCGCGGCCGATAGCTGGGCCAAGTACTGGTGGTTTAAGTGTAGGGGATAGAACCAGGCTCCAAGACTGAGACATCAAGGCCAAGGGGCTGTTAGCTGAGAGAAGGGGAACAGCCCGGACAAGTCAATCTGTTCCCAACTCTCTCAGGGCCTGCCAGGAGAGATGTGTTTACTATCTCTTTCATTAGGCTATCATGAAGGCAAGCAACTCAGGCTGCGGTATTCTTCCATCTGCCAAAGATTCACTCATCGGAGGAGGAGCCGGGCAGTTATTCCTGCGAATCTGCAACTGTGCAGCAGTCACCCGTGCAGTTATTTCATAAAAAAAGAAGAAGAAAGAAGGCCAACGGAATCAACATATATTCTTTCTTTTCTTTTTTTTTGGTAACTTCAGTAGACTCACAAAAACGAGTTATAATTGCACTATGGGGCAAGATACAGTTTGCAGTTGCCCTTCGCTCAGTGCCACCCTACCTGGCCAGAAAGTTGGGTTGTATACATTGCCCAAACTTCAATTTGAAACTGTATCTTGTCGCATACTGCAATTATAACTCATTTTTGTGACTCCCGCGTAGTTTCCCCCTCTTTGTTTCTTTTTTTTCCCCTCTTCCTCCCCCCCCCTCTCCCCCTCCCCCCCCCGGAAAGGACGACTGTCCCTGGCATGATCTGCCGATCCGGGCATGCCGGCCTAGAACATTCCGTGGTCGCCAATTCCGTTGTACAAGCCAGAAAATGGGCCCGACGTCCCTCACATCAAGATAGATAACTTGAATAGTGTACCCGTCCAGTAAACAAGAAATCACCGGTAACATGTTATTCGTTAAAATAGGACATTATACTGTGTCCTCTTTTCAACGAATTCATTTGTGGCCGCAGCCTAAGCAACGTAGGCATGCCCATCCTGTGCGGAAGTGTGTTGGGATCCTCACTGATTGAACTTCAAAAACGTGCTGGTGATCCTGCGGGGAAGTGTGTTGGGATCCATACTACTCAAACTTCATAAACGAATAACGATTGGCATGCCACACAGGAAACCCTGTGCGGAAGTGTGCCGGAGTCCTTACTTGTCAAACTTCAATTTCATAAATGTGATGAAAGATATTATATTGTGACACTGTCCTCTTTCTTACGAATTCGTTTTATTACTGCAGTGTTTCCACATAGGCGTGCCCATCCACTCGGCCCAAATGCGGAAGTTTGCTGACTTTCATAGTTGTTGAACTTTGCAAGCAAAATTAGCAATGTAATCAAATTGAATTGGAGAGACTCAGTATAATTCTTTCGGTTATCCCAAAGTTACACATGTAGGTTCATCGTCTTGCTAAAGACGGTTGTTTAGATGTATGATGAGATCCGGACTTGTTTAGAAGACTTGTGACCCTGACAATGGGCGGGAGTGTGCCGAGATCCATACTTGTTAAACTCAAAGCTTACGTATGTGATGAGCAAGGTGTCATGATCGAACCGTTGTTGGTGAACACATCAAATTTTCGTTTACTAGGTTATCCCTAAGTTATGCAAGCACACCCATTGTCTCACCCGAGACGATTGTTTGGATGTTGAAGAGATTCGGATTTTCGCATAAAGGCACGGTTATCATCTCGCCCGACATGAGGGCACTGAGAAACATACTTGTTTACATTTGTGATGGGTAAGGTGTATTTCAATAACCACTTTATTTCGATATTCTATGTACAAGTGTAGAACTTAAAATTGTGCTAATTCACGATGAATATCCGCACTTTAAATGGTAATGCAAAGAAGGTTTGGGCATCCACTGTCCAATTTCACAATCATGTTTACACTTCCAGTTGGACAAAATTTGAAAAATGAAACAGAATACTTGTAGTGGAACAGAATTCGAAACATGGAACACAACATATGACATGTTCCGCTGCATGAGAAACGACTGCGACGTGACAGAGATCACAAAGCCCATACATGATGCAGGACATGCAATCAGCTTGCCGTAGTCAACCCAAACTCGAAACGACAAAAGAAAGCAATGTCTTTGGCAGAAAGACAGTTGAATAATGTCTCGATTTACAAAATCCAATGAACAACGAATGAAACACCTTAAGAAAAGAGTTTCCAAGTCAATCAAATCCATCAAAGACAACGATGTTGTAAGATACATGATGCTAATTGTCGTCTAAGAAGCGAAATATCTTTATAAGAGAACTGGAAAGGTGGTCGATCTCCACGTTGCAACAACGTCGCATACATCAACATGAACACCCCACAACTTGCTCCATCCACTTGTCTCGGAACTCCATCTACCACAACATTTCCCACTATCGACTTCCAACTCCTACCCGACCGCCTATGTGATGTTTGACGTTCCAAATACTGCACAATCAACCCGAAAACAGAAAGGTAAAAAGTAGAATCAGATACAACGCGAGGAAAAAAATCAAAAATTTCGAGAACATCATCTCTCATGTTGACGGAAAGGAGGATCCAGTGATCATCATGTTTGTGGACAGGAACGAAGATAATATCGTAACGAAGCAAATCTACGTCTCTAGCCCACCTCCGCACCCCACCGTGTCCTTGAAGTCGCATTTTACTGAAGAAGAACGAATTAAAGGTGAAGACTTGAAGGCCCGACGAGATGTCACGTGACCCACATGCGGTCGACCCCAACAACGCCATATAGAAATTGACCACCTCATCATTCACCCTGCCGTCGACATGCAGTAGGGTGAGGAGATCTTTTGCTGCAATCCGAAATTGACCATCGCCCAGTATAGAGAGAACAGTGTGAGACGGCACCGAGCCTCGTAAAATGTCGTCCAAAACCCGCAAGCTCAGAGGCTCAATCGTTGCAGCGAAGCTTTTTCCGCGTGCTGCACTTGCGGCCTGCACTGCACAACATCGAGCAAAGGACACGTGGGGTAGTGAGAAACGGAGTTCTAGGCATTGTCCCCCGGAGCATGACGCGTTGCTAAGTACTTCTCATACATGGCCTGACCCCTACTCACAGATCGTGGATATGTCCCTTTCTCTGGGGCAAGAAGGGAAAGACATTCCTCAATGGCAACATTGTACTCCTTCTTCCCGATCTCGACATCAACCCCTGATGCCTTTAACATATCCTTGTGTTTTGTAGTCAACCCGGGGACTTTCTGCAATATGTGCTCAGGATATTTGGAGGACCTCTGTGTTCGAGACGACCCCATCCCTGTACAACAGAAGAAAGACAGAACAGAAAATGAGAACCACACAATCGCACGGACGCAACAGTCAAGCAAGACCTCTCCGACCATAGGACCCTGATTTCGCGTGGTCATGTGCACCCAGGTGGGGTTGTGCTACTGGAAAACAAAACGACTGCAACATTCTAGTTTAACATCCCCGCACTTCGCAAAGGAAAATCACCACAACTCACAGAAGCCAAGGGCCAGCAATCCCCGAAGTTCGGACTGCGGCGTACTTTTCAGTACACCAGCCCCATTGAGACTGACCACATCACGCATCGACAAAGGAAGTTCGGATCCCGGCGGACTAAAACCGACACTATTCCCGAGAAGGGAAAACTGTCAGTCCATCTACTTGGCAACTTTCTTAGCCCCTTGGCCACTTCCTCAGCCGGGGCCGATCCTTCCTTGGATGGAGTGTAAGTTTGTCGACGAACTTTTCGCCGCCCACGACCAGCAACCCGGCCGAGTGACAGATAAGCTGACGAGATGTATTAGGAAGGGCTGGTGGCTGTAGTATGGCGGCATCCGGAGCTTCCCGTATCGACAGACAGTGTGGACAGTCGTCGTGTGTACAACGCGGACTGTAATCCGACGACATCGGGACGCGCTGGTAGTGTGGCGTTCTTCACAGCTTACCAGTCTGTTTCTCTCTCCGCTCCTTCGATGGGGAATTTGGCGCGGGCAAAGCGAGCACGTCGAGAGCTTGACCGCCGACCCTCGATTTCTTTGGGAACGTGACATGTTGTCGTCCCCCGACCTCGCCTTCCTCTCCGGCGGCAAGGGTGGCCGGCAGGACCAGGGACTTCGGCGACGACGAAGCGAGGGCAGCTGCAACGGGAGACGTGACGTTGCCAGTTTCGTCGACGTCAGGCGTTGTGGACGGACGGGCAGACACGTTGTGGTCGCCGAGGATACCGTCGATAACTTCGTCGATGCTTATACGCCGACTTGTTTTAGACGGGCTGATAACGCCGAAAGCCTCGTCGAAGCGGTGTTGCAAGTCGACAACAGATGTTCGTGGTCGGACCGCATAATCTTCAGGCTGTGCAGAAAGGCTGCTAACGACCTGTGTCTCTATCTCTATTGCTGTGGCATCGTCGTCGACATCATCCTCGTGATGCTCTCGGTACAGTTGTCCGAACTCGTCAGATGACTCTCCAGATCCGGCATCGTCCTCACTGTGCTCCACTTCGTCGTCTCCAGATCCGGCACCCTCCCTCCCTTCAAGCAAATCAAGTAGCTCCGTTTCTCCCGCTTCCTCCCCTTCCTCCTCTTCTTCCCCTTCTTCCTCCCCTTCTTCCTCCCCTTCTTGTGCTCCCCTCCGTTCCTCCATTTTCTCCCCTACTTCCCTTCCACGAAACTCATCCCCTTCTGCGGTACCCGTGTCGAATCCCGAGGACCGCACTTCCGTCTCTGTGCACGCTGCCCCTCTCAACGGCATGACAATCCCTGGCCGACAGCCCCCGCCCGAAGAAGTTCGGATCTCGGCGGACTTCGTCGTCTCCGTGTCGCCGGACCCTATACCTGCAGCCTCTCGCTGCAATCCTTGCGGCCGTCGCTCCTGCTAGGCGACAACTTTCCCACCTTCTCGTCCCGCGCCGCAATGCTGCCAATTTCGAGATCCTTGCTTGGTTCCCCCGGCCCCGAGCGGCTTTGCATTCCGGACCGCTCTGGCGGCTCCTCAGCGGACGTAGTTCGGATCCCGACAGACTTCAACTTTCCGCCGGAGTGATTGCCCAGAGCAAGCAAAGCTGCCAACGTGTCCCTCGCTGAGCCCACGGACGAAGTCGGGAGGTCGGCGGACTGTGTCGTATGCTCCGGTCAGGTGCCTGTCGACGGAGGCCGGTCGACGGCGAACCCCGCCACCCCGCCGCTGCCTCCCGGTGTCGTGTTTAGGCCGTGAGACCCCCTCTCCCCACTAGGCGGGATTCCTTTGCCACCCCCCGCGCCACCACCCCCATCCCCTCCACTTCCAGGTGCCCCCCCCCCGGAACTACCATCCGGGCCACTGGGAGGGGGCACTTTCCAGTCCACCATGCCCTTCGACGGACTCGTGTCGAGGTCGTAGTAGTCCTCCGTCAATTCCAACCAGCACTTGTCCTGAAGCTCGTCGAACAGTCGACCGGCTGTGGAAATGAGGGTCAGGTCGCCGGGTGCAAAGGTGTCATTCTCGACCGTCACTTTCTGGAGGACCGAAATCCTCGCGAGGTGCAGGAAGTTGGACTTCGACTCGCGCGGGAATGACGCCCATCCCGCGCCCGGGATTGCGATGGCCATGACCCACTCGCCCTTTCGTATCGCTGGCTGGATGACTCCCGGATGCCACACCATGTCATGGCCCCATTCCAGCTCAGGCAAATGACGTTGTGGCTCAAGCAGGAAGTGAATGTGGTCATCCTGCCAAGATGGATGATCGGGCGGGATGTCGGACCCGGGACGCAAAGCGGGCGGGGGGACGGCCAAAGCTCTGAGTCTCTCCATCAACTTCATCGGCGTGGTGCCCGACGACGGTTTGGCCGACGGTGACACGAGGGCTACTGCGCTCGGTGACGGATCGACCGGCGACGACCCTCTGCCGTGGTCCGCCGGAGGTGGGTCGTACGGCAGGTCAATGCTCTATATGTCGCTCTCCTCCTCCTTCACGTTCGCGACAAACTCCACACCTGTGGCTTCCTCGTCATCAGTGGAGATCAGGGAAGCGTAACTGGCCAACTTTAACTGCTGCTCGGACTCCATGAAGTACAGCGACTGCAGCCTATCGAGAAACATCTTCGCGTTCATGCGGGAGGCGAAGTGGTAGTTGTCGAGCAGTGCGAACATGTGGTCCTTCTGGTGGACGTACTCGGCGTCAGAAATCGTATATCTTGTTCCTCGTCCTCTCGCTCAACTTGAACCACATATCCGTCTTGTTGCTCCACACCTTATCCCGTGTTGGCTTCACGACCATGAACTCACAATTGCGCCCGCCCGAATTGACCTTGCTTTTCACCACCTGCATCGTGAATTGCAAGAGCTCGGCGTTTTCTTCCATCGCGACAACGTGCCGGCCGACCTTTAGAAGATCCCAGATGCTACTCGCGTGCGGTTTTCCAAGGAACACGACACCCTCTCCCTTCTTGCCAAGGAAATCAAGAAGACCGACGAATTGTGTCGGATTGCGTTCCATATCCCCGTAGACACTGCTCTGTCGTTCCGGCGCCACCAACGACCAATCGCAAGGCACAAAGGGAATCTCGGACGCATCCGTCTGGGTGACCCTCTGAGGCAATCGCACCGCAGCAGCGACACCCCTGGGCAGGTTTCCCTCGTAGACCACGGACGTGTTGGCAACTTGGCGCGCAGATCGTCACCCTTGAAGAGGATGTACATGCGGTCTTCCTCCGTGTACAAATTGTTCCCAACGGGGAAGCTTTTCTTTTGCTGAACTTTCCTCACCCACTTCCCTTCCAACAGCTTGACGAAAGAAAGATGGTGCATGCTAGCGAGAAACGTGAGGTTGTGCTGCCGCGGCACGAAAACAACGAGAGTCCAATGCGACGGACACCACGTCTGAAGATAGGAATCCAAAGTCTCCCACGCTTGGGCCTTCCACAGTTTGAGGTCAACTGGCTCGCACAGATCGAGGACGAACGTGTGGCTCTTTGTGGCAGCCAATGCTTCCTTCAGCTCTGCGCCCCTCATGTCCGCCTCCAAAGGGTCGTTGGCGAACGGCGCGATGGATGTCACGTCCCTCGTGTCTTTCCATTTAATGTGAATAATGCCTTCGGCAAGGGCGACCTCCCGGCTCTTCAGTCTTCTCCCATTCAACACGGAGAGAACCTTGTTTCTCCAGTCGACGGACAACTTCTTGTGCCCCACCAACTTCTCCGTCACCTCAATCGCGTTGTCCTGGTCGCAACCCGTGTACGACGGGCAGTCCTTAAACAAGTGTTTCCTGCTGTTATCCCACAACTCGTCATCCAATCCCTGACTTTCAAACTTCCTGAACACCGCAGACCTCGATTTCAGGAAAGGGTACCTTTGGATCCAATCCGCGTCCGGCCTCTTCTCGTGTTTGAATTGATAGTAATTCCACAACTGGACCAGCACGCGGTCGCACTTCACCAGCTGCACCATGTCCTGCATGCTGAGCTTCCCCAACTTCGCCAACGACGGGGAGCCGGCCTGGACCCAAACGATCTCACAAGCAAGCACCTTCTTAAGAACGCGACACTTCTCATTGTCCGTGAGTGATTCCATTGCTTTCCAACAATGCGCGTCCGGGTCGGGCACTTGCACGAACCAATCGCCGTCCTCTTTCTCCTTTTTGCCTTTCTTGTTCGGTGGGTCCACGGGGACGTAGTACACCACCTCAGTTCTGCCCAACTTGTCGTTGTGGATGTAGGCGACCCGAGGCTTGACATTTTTGACCTTCTTCTTTTTCACGATCCACTTCGCTCCGTCGTGGCTCAGCAATCTACTCGTCTCCCATTTGTCGAAAAATTCCAGGGCCAGTTTCCATACATTTTCTCCGGCCATCGCGGGAGGGAAATAAGAACGCAGGGCAACATTTTGCTTCTTAAGAGTCTCCTCTTCCTTTTGATCCGCGAGAATCCACAAGCTGTTGTGAGGCGCCTTATGGAGCGCCGTTGTACAAAACTTACGCTAAGCCCGGACCTGATCTTGTTTCCCGCTAGGGTTCCCCATCACAGCTCTCGGGCAGCCGTCATGCTTCCTCTGCCACCGAATGTCTTTCATAGACAACTTCAACTGTCTTGGAGGCGCCTTCAGGTCCTTCTTGTTGTCCTGTGAACTAACAAGAAAATACCCTTCAAAGTCATCGTCCGAAAAGTAAAGCATTCGCGCCGGCCACCACTCGAAATTGTACTTCTTGGCCACCTCGCTCCCGAGCAGCGACCGGGCTGCAGCCGCGTTATGCTGCCCGCACACCGCGTAGTAGTAGTATTCTCCCGCCAGCTCGTCCTTCCACTCCTCCGGCTTCAGACGTTGAGCCTTGGTCCCGGGAGTCGGTTTTTGAAGCCCCAGTGGTGCGAGCTTGAAGATCGACAACTCGTACGTCTGCTCTTTATTTTCGAACGCATACTGCATTGCTTCTTTTATCGTTCCCACGAGGACAGGATCCAGTGACCGCTAGTTGTAAAGATCCTCCCACTCCCCGAGGTCGACGATCTGAGCCGGGCTAATCTCAAACTCCCGCCTTGTCCTGACGCCGTCTTTGTACTCCAGGAAGTACCCGGCGTCCACATCGATGGCAGGCCGTGTCGTGGAAGGTCCTGACGCAGGCTGTTTCGGTTTTGAAGCCGGACGTTTGCTACCCGGGTGGTCCTCTTCCACCCCCCTTCCCTTGGCACCGGCGACGACGTTCCCCTTCGAACTGTACACATTTTTCATGTAGAACCGTCGACGACTGCCTTTCGCATTCTCCGACCGCAAGACAGCCCCCAGAACCCTGCGGCGCTTGTTGGCATCGACGAAGATCACAGGACCACACGGCTGTCGAACCGGGTTCGAAGCATCACCACAACACTAGTCGACAAACCATTTCGACCTTGCATGGTCCGACCACGACCTCGAGGTCGTAGACGAACGTCTTGTGGAATCTTTCCCTGATCCCATCCCGAAGGTCGCTGCGGGCTCCCCCTCGCCCCTCGACGAAGACATCTTGTCTGCGGACGACAATGGAAAACAAATGAACCACCAGAGAGCGTCAAGGCGTAGACAAAATACAACGCAGGCAAAAAACACGGGCGGCAAACATTGCACCCAACCATTCCGGGACCTCCAAGTTCGGATTCCGGCGAACTTTGCAACGCAGGCAAAAAACACGGGCGGCAAACATTGCGCCCAACCGTTCCGGGACCTCGAAGTTCGGATCCTGGCGAACTTTGGACGCGAAGTCCGCCTGGGTCCCGACTAAAAGACGGCGCGACAGAAAGATAGAAACAACCAGCCCATGTGGCCGACGTTCCAGAACCGGGCTCGACCGAACACACTCCACAACTGCATTTGATAAAAACCAAAAGTCGGAGACAGACTCTCCTCGTCGTCGGGCGGGTTGTGCGAACCACCGGACGGGCATGTCCGAAGACAACCCAACGCACCTCCCGAAAAGTGAAGTTCGCCGGGATCCGAACTTCAGGACGATGCGACAGGCAGAGACGGCGTCAAAGACACACGGTCCCTGGACTCAACCGCGACCTGGCCAAATACCACACAGACATGGGAGGCCGATAGAGAAGGATAAGTTCGCCGAAATCCAAACTTCTTCTGATATGCGCAGTAGCCGTGACAACATTGCACGGGTCCCTGGTGGGGCAGAACGATATGTGTGGAGCAAGGCGGACAGGAGCTGTTCTGGCAATCCACGGGGGATCTGGAAGAGCAGTGTCTGTCCAATAGACAGGCGTCACAGGAAGTTAGCCAGGATCCGAAATTCAGGACGCCGCGAGAAAGACACATAGAGATAAACACTGGATCACGTATGAGGTTGGACGGAAGTTTGGGTCCGTGCAAGGTTATGGTGGGAGAACCCTGGGTCTTACAACTGACCGCAGGTTTTGATGACAGTAGTCATTGAGTCCGTCTATGCTCAAAACAGATCCAGATGCAACAAGAGGGCCCTTAAACCGGGATCTCTAACGGGTTTCAGTAAACGCGAAGCTCGCGCGACCCTGCGGTCATTCGAAGCAGGGATCCCTAAGAGTGTTTTTGGCATTTCGCGACTCGGATCCCTAAGAGTGGTTTTGGCATTTCGCAACGACAATGATCGACTGTTTGGCACATGTCGATGGTGGTCGGGCGACAACCGAACCCTGATAGTGTTTCTGAAGTTCGGTTGGCGGCGGTCTCAGATAGCGAACGTCGGCGGGCGTAATTGGTCGCATAACCTTTTCGAAGGCCGCGGCCTCAAGCAAGACCGTGCTCGTGGTGCCCGACGGTTCTTGCGGTCCGCCTGACGCCAGCAGTACCAACAACAAACCAACGCACAGCCCAAAACGCGAAGTTCGCCGGGATCCGAACTTCGCCGGGGCTCGACATGGAAGGAGACGGCGTCAAAGATAGACCTCCAACATGATTTTCGTCGGTTGTTGAACTGATCGACGACCAGGGATTTGCACGACAAGCGCGCGGTGTAGCGTGTACTAGCAACAATTGCCTCTCACACCACCCTCCAGTGCTACACATCCAATAATGTAGGCAGCAAAAGAGCATCTCATACCTCTCCCTTCTTTTCCCTTAAACACCAGGGCCGACTACCAGTTCAGATGTGCCGACATTCGGGGTTCCCTTGGCACGACGTTGTGAACCGAAGCCATACAAAGCATTCATTGATGATCTGTACATGTGGATCTGCGGTTCGTCTACCGATGCCCTCTCCGAAAAGACGGACATGTATATCGGACACTCCCGGTCGTGCTAAGGAATTCCCTATACAGTCCCGTATATCGGACACTTTCTCCTCGACCTCACGATGCAACGAAAAGTTTTGGACCCGCCCTGCTATCACCAAATCGCGCCATGCATCTGCACGTTCAGGCCCGCGCGTCCGCACGAATTTGGACCCCTCAATCACCACCTCGTTCCGTGACACAAGCACAACTGTGTCGACGAGTTTCCTGCTCTTGTTCGAAGCAGCGATACATAGAACTCTGGCGAAATCAGTCCGCGACGCAGTCAACCGCACACAACAGTATGACACAGCTTGTGGAGAATTCCCGGGGCACCGGAGCGGGTACTGGTCCAGGAACGAGCAGTGACGAGCGCAGTCCAACAACTCTTGTTTTCGTGAGCCTCCCCAAGTTCGTGGCGACGACCTGACGTAGTGGCACTCGAGGCGGCTGAAATGGCGGCTAATGCAGCCAAGTGCTCTGCTCATATGGTTCAGGAACTTGTGTCCGAGGACAGCGTCAGACACCGGGATAAGGTTCCCGAACTCCAACATGTTGGCGAACTTGTACTGGCTTGCCCATGGACAGCGACTCTCCATCGTGGCCCAATTCCCATCACACCAATCGTCAATATGCAGTCTTATGCACGGGACGACGGTCATCTAGGGGTCCTCCTCGAAGTCCTCTGCGGTCGCTCTGTGGATTGTAGTAACACTGTCGAAATACCGCACGGATCTCGCGCAAGGACGAAACGGTGCTGCCAAGCTAATGTGCGTCTCAGGACTCATGATTTGTGGTGTCGAGAACATCGACTCCATGATTCGTGGTGTCGAGAAGGTCCCCTCCATTACGCACCCTACACACCACGCGCACATACCAAACGAGACACACGGGCACGGAGACACTCGTAAACACTTCGTGTTCCGGATCTGCGACCTATGGCATTAGACGGAGCGCACGCTCAAAGATATGAATTCGGGTGGCCGACTTCGTTGGTGTTCACTTCTGCCGGCCAGTAGGCCAGCCCCAAACATGTCCCGCGAGAGGCGGGAACGTCATGTCCGCCGTGATCCGAACTTGGTGAGACTGCGCGGGAGAGACAAAGGTGTCTGTCAAACTCGCCGTCCCGAACTCTCTTGAAGTTCAGATCTTGTCGGACATCACATTTTTATGAATCCAAAGTTGTGGCAATCCACCGGCCGCTAGAAACTCCACAGTTGGAACTCGCACCACACGAAATTTGAAGTACGCCTGGGTGCGAACTTGACGACCGCACGAGGAACCGTGCACGAGAAGTTCGGATCCCAACGGACTTGGCATTTTATCATATCTGAACTCCGCAAGGGTTTGAAATTGACGACCGTCCGAGGAACTGTGCACGGCAGGCTCGGATCCACGGCCCAGCAGGCGGGCAGGAAACACGATTTGCGAAAGGTGGAAATTTAAAGTTCGTCCGGTTCCAGCGGACTTCAAGTGTTAACGAATCCGAGGTTGTGCCAATCCCTCAGGCGCCAGCAAGTCCGCATTTTGAACCCAAACAATGCCAAAACCGAAGTTCGCCGGGGTCCGAAGTTGACGTATGTGCGAGGAACCGTGCAGGAGAAGTTCGGATCCCAGCGGACTTCGCATTTTCACCAAACCGAAGTTCACCGACGTCCGGACTTGACGATTGTACCAGGAACCTTGCAAGCGAGGTTCGGATCCACAGCCCTGCAAGCGGGCCGCAAACATGTCTTCCGAAAGGCGGGAACATGAACTTCGCCGGGATCAGACCTTGGCGAAATTGTGCGGGAGAGACACACCTGTCTGCCAAACTCGCCGTCCGACAATTTCTTGAAGTTCGGATCCCGGCGGACTTCGAATTCCTGCACATCCTCGACTGTGGTTGTGGGGCGGGGTTGCGAAACGTATTCGAACAGGTGCACAAGCTCGCTGGAATGCGAACTTCTTCCGGTGTTTGATTGCGCGATCAGTTCAGTTTGATTGCACAATCAGTTCGCCAAAGTTCGGCGTGCGACGAGGTTCGACGCCCGCCGAGGTTTGATGTGAAGCCAGGTTCCATGCCCAACATGGTTTGATGTTATACAAGGTTCGATGAGCAACAACATTGTGTGATCCGTTTGCGGGCACATGAAACAATTGTCTTGTGCGATCCATTCGCGGGCACATTATCAATTCCCTTGTGGATTCTTTGCGAAGAACGGATTTGTCGCAGATCGGTCGCTTGATGCCGTCGCTTTCAACGTATGGAGATTGATGATCTGGTCGGCGAGCGACTGGTCTGTCGAACTTATTCGTAGTCTTCGACGGAACACTAGATTGGTCAAAAGATCTGCCAGGATCAACTATTTACCGGGTGCTCGGTTGGCGGTTGGTGTGCTGGTTGATCAACCACTCGAGCAACCGCCAACAGAGCACTCGATCAAACAAGTGATCATGGCAGATCTCCTGACCAATCGACTGTTCGCTCGCCTACAGGTTGGTCGCGCACACGCACACGCAGACGCACAGACGCACGCACACGCACATCGAGTGCACGAACAAATGAGAGGTGACGGTGGTAAAACAACACTCGCACGCACACGCACATCGACCGCCATTTATGTTGCCATTGAGACAAGCGAAACACACACGTGGCGACAACGTCGGGACAACCCACACGATCAATCGACCGACCGCGAGTGATCTGTCGGATGGATGCGTCTGCAATCCCGATGTTATCTCTTCGTGCACTAATTAATCATCCGTTAGGCGGATCAGGGGCGATATTGTTGCAACAGCAAGCAGCATCGATCACCCGATCGCGAGCGGTCGGCTTATGTTTCATGATGGGTCGGTTCATCGACTGTATGTTCTAGACATTGCCACAATGTGTTCTAGCGGAGCTTTCTTTGTTGGTCGGTTGAATCGACCACGATTGCCATGATCGTGTTTCGCGATTGATCGACGGATGCGTCCGCTGTGTCGACAATGCCACCTCGTGTTTCGATCGATCATCCATTTCGCAGATCGTCGGATATGACATTTGGACAGCACAAAGAATCATATGGACTGTGGTCAGTGTTCAAGATGTGATTGTGTTTCGTGATTGGCCACCGCGTGTTCGATACGACCTTTCGTGATTCGCCAGTCGATCACCTCATTAGCGCACTGGCATACAGTTTCGCGTTAAAACCTGCGCAATCGCTGGGTATTTTGCACCAATCAACCTTGATTGCAGCAGAAGCAGAGTGGAAGTGCAAAACATGTCAATTGTCCTAGACCACACACCTTCGCGTGCATGTCCGCATGTTCAATGTGCTCAATCACACACGCACGTGCAAAAATATGCACAGACAGGCACACGCACACACACACACACACATACGCGCCCGCACACGCGGCCAACACACACACACGCCCCTCAGATGCTGACCCGCGCACGATCCTTCCTCGCGCGTGTGGCATAGTACACGTCATACAACCGCACACACAATAAAACACGCACTCGAACACGCACACAAGAAAACGATCAGACAGACACACAAGCGCACGCACAAACACACACTAGCACACAAACACACACACACACACGCATCCACGCAAGCACGAACTCTTTCAATCTGCGCGACCATAGCATCAGAAAACACTCCCGCACGCGCACACAAACACACACACGTCCCGGCTGCGGGCGCACTCACCGTGTGATACTGTCGAGTGGAGATTCGCACGATCCGCGCCGTCAAGCGAGACAGCACTCTGTCCACCTTTGGCTTGTGCTTTTCGTTCGCGAGTGTGCTGTGCGGAGTGCTTCGTGTATGCGAGGGTAGTGCGTTGAGCGGTGGGCGCCGAATGTGTCGACACGCGACGTCGAATATGACGTGGGCAGCTACTTCGAAGGTTGAGGGAGATGCGAGGGCATGCGGGGTTCGCCAGGAAACGAGCGTGGTGAGGAATGGCTGTCCCTACTCTTTGCCAGCTATGGCGCTACAGCTGTGCGTGGTGCTGTTGTTGACGACAGTGGCGGTGTGAGGCTTCTGTCGGGCAGCATCTCCCCAGCAAAAAAGCAAAACGCATTGTTAATGCCTAGGGCGCCGCTCGTACTTGTAGGCACGCGGGACTTGAGGCCCCCTCGGGCCTTCCGTTTCGGAAAATCGCGCAGGGTCCGTACGCCACCGCACGGCTGTTCGATCCTCGCATCGAACGGTGGCTGCGCGTCGAAATTTCCCCGACGGGGACCTGGTGAGCGCGACATGATAAAAAAGTCCCTGTGGGCTGGCCCTTCCAGGCCGTCATTAAAAAAAAAAAACCTTGTTCCTGCCCACTCGCGCTCGTGTCGTCAGGTTCGCGGGCCCCGCTCGAGGGGGTTTCAGGCAGCGCGGGGGGGGCGGATTGTATTTTCCAGTCCGTTGGGGGGGGAGGGCGGTGAGGGACCGCGGGAGGGGAGGTTGGAGGGGTTCGCGGGCATTCGCGTCTCCTGGCTGG